CACGGGCCGTGGCCCGCTACGTTTCCCCGGGAGCATCTCCCTCGGCACTTGACACATGAGACATATTCCCTGTGGTCGTACGAGGCCTGCGCGCTCTCGAGTCACACGTGGCAGAGAAAGAGGATCTCTGTCATGTGTGATATCTCGATGTAGTGGACAGTCGGGTAAAACAAAGGTCGCTCCTTCGTCACGCCAACAGAATGTCGCATCACTTGGCTCTCCGTTTTAAACAATTTCATTATCACTGCAGCACGCCACGTTCCCGGTCACCTTAATCATATCGCTGACTGGTCTTTCTCATTTTAAATTTCAGGAGTTCCGGCGCCTCTGCCCCTCAGCCTGCACGGAGCCCACGTGCAATCCCTACCATGGATCAACTAATCCTCGGGACTAAGTCTCCACCTTCCCACGCTCTCCCACCTCCTCTCCTCTGCTTCATCCTACATGAAAAAACGGCCTCTCCCCCTCTACTCTGTCTACATACAGCTCCGCTTGGAGAGCCTATTCCCGTCTTCTGCCACGCTCACAACATTTCTTCGGTTACCCCGCCATCTGTATCTACTGTCATGGCTTTTATATCCACTGCTCGAAACAATCTCCACCTCCATTACAAAATAACTTGCATCCGTACGCTGCTCTCTGGCATTCAGTTTCAGGCCCGCTGTCATGAAACCCCGCCTTCTCCTCTCTATCTCCGAACCCTCCATCAAACTCCTCATCAAAGGCATTCACAATTGTACTCCCACCTCTTCTGATCACAGCTCCCCACGCTGCCTATCCTGGAACAGCTCTGCGCCACACTGAACTCTGGCTCTCTTTACACGCCACACTGAACTCTGGCTCTCTTACACGCCACACTGAACTCTGGCTCTCTTTACACGTCTGCCCTCCTTCGCAGCGCGTTCCTGCTCGCCTTCTATGGCTTTCCTCCGCATAAGCGAGTTCACCACTGCTCATGCGACTTTTAATGCGCCCCTAGACATTGCTTTTTCCGATCTGTCCTACTAGGTCAAGGTCAAGGTCAAATTTATTTATAAAGCACATTTACAAAACAGCCATCACTGCCCCAAAGTGCTGTACACAGTACAATAATACAACACAACAAAAACACAACAATATAACACAATAAGGAAGTAAAAATGTAAACTGTAAAAATATGACCACTTCAACCTTCATCTCAAACATTCAAAGACCAAGGCGCCTGCAACATAATAATAGCTCGCTCCGACACATCTCTCTGCCCTACAAGTCCATGATGCGTTACACTCGCCTCCGCTGCAAAAAAGGAGATTCTAACGGACCTCTAATTCTCACTCCAGACAACCTTCCCATGACAGCAACCTGGTTCAGAGCTCAGCTAAGATCCCTACTGCTCCTCTGTAATTTGTCTCCCCAGCTCTATACAGCTCACTCCTTCAGGATAGGCGCTGCCACGCGCGCAGCCTCGCTGGGCTCCCCCCACTTTTCTCTGCAACAGCTGCTGGGGCGCTGGTCCTCTTCGGCTTTCTCCGCCTACATCAGGCCAGATGCGACCGCTATCATGCAGCACAACGTCAACTGGCTTCCTCGTAAGCTCCTCAGCAAAGCAACGCAAAAGCAAAAGTAAGTAAGCAATAAGATTCTGGTGGCGGCACGCACTTTCCTCAAACGCTCTCCGCTGCATGCAGCGTCTGGCTGAATATGAGCATGCGCTCATATTCTCAGCTCGCTCAAAGATTCCCCCTGCTGCAGCGTCTGGCTGAATATGAAGCATGCGCTCATATTCTCAGCTCGCTCTGCCTAAACAAACACGGGCCCCAGCGGACACAGCCTGGCTGAGCGAACCGTGCGAGAAGCCTCTCACTCATGCTCTCAGGCCTGCGCAGCGCGTCCTGCTATCCCAATCGCAGGCCCGCTTTTTTGGGGATTATGCACACGAGCAAGCGCCGTGCTCAACAGCATCCCCCTCCCGGGCCTAGGGCGCGCCAAACATGCTCAATCTAATAAACATGCTTAAATCTAATAACTCTAACGGCATTTTCTTTATGGGTCTCTCCAAGGTGAAATAAAGTTGATGAGACGTTGATTTTGGGAATTGCTTCATTTAAAACTATTTTTTTGTCTAATTTATTTATTAAACTGCACGGTGGCTGAGTGGATAGCACTCTCGCTTCTCAGCAAGAAGGTCCTGGGTTCGAATCCTGGTCGGAACAGAGCCTTTCTGAGTGGAGTTTGCATGTTCTCCCTGTGTCTGTGTATTTTTTTCTCCGGTGCTCCAGTTTCCCCTACCACTAAAAACAATTGCACAGTAGGTATGAATGTAAATGAGAGAGTGAATGGATGGTGTTGATTGGGGCTGTTGTGTTCGGCGACTCACTTCCGTCATCACCGTGTGTGGAATGATTGAATTAATATCTGAACTTTGAACATTGTAAAGTGCTTTGGGTGACATTGGTCCTGTAATATGTGCTATATAAATAAAACATTACTTATTTACTAAACTTATCTCCTCCTCCTCTTCAGATAATGCTTGCATGCAGTGAAGATAAGTTTATCAGGACATAGTCACATATACACACACAACTTTAGTTTTTCACCAATACTATACTATTTTTGTTTATCCCAACAAGAGTTTTACCAAACCACAACATGTTTTTATATTATTGGAAAACATTGTGCATCATTGGGTGTTTTGTTCTTTGGATGTTTTTGTGCAGAGAGAGTGTTTTTGAGCTGAAGACGTGACAAAGGCCCATCAATGCATGTGACCAAAATGTGTTTTTGAGAGCGAGGTACTTGTCCGGTGAATTTTTTTGTGGTTTGAAAATAAGGTATACCCAGCTTTAAATTAGAGAATGTTTTCAGCAGGCATTTCTGTATACTTTTAAGTAAGTATAGTATATGTTTTGTTTTTTTATATATTCAATTATTTAAAAAATAATTGTCCTGTCCAGCAGAGCTTTAGTTATTTCTGTATCACACACTGCATATAAAATGCTGAAAACTCCATAAAAACCACATTGAAACGATATATATATTATTATTCCTATTCAGCTGCTTAATAACAATCAGCATTGGAATAGATGTTTGCAGAACGAGTCAAAGCGAGATCCATTGACTCAAAGCACTAAAGCGTGAACTCATGGTCCCGACATCTCACAGCGAAAACCGGATCCAGACCCGAGACAGACTGAGAGACGCGACCGAAAACCCACTGCTCCATTCATCACACAATACACCAAACATGTGGCTATTTGTGAACAGAGCAAGGACGGGACGGGTCGGAGACCAGTCACGGGCATTCGATATGAGAGAAGTTATCGAGAAGGAAAAATTAGATCTAGTGGAGAGACGGTGGATGGATTTCTTGTGGTGGTGGAAAAGGGATTTACTCAGTGGAGTTGTAGAAAGGTAAGGAGTGACATATTATTCATACGTATGTTTGGGTAAAATAGCAAAAAACTGTTTGGTTCTAGAATATGGGTGTTTGATTTGTTTTTTTTGATGCTATATTAAAAAGTAAATATAAGCGGAAATAGTGTCACACTGGATGAACATAAAAAGGAAATTATAGTAACACGGTAAAAAGTATTGAAACAGCAAGGCATTTGTCACATACTGTTTGGCTCGGGGTCCTGTAAAAGAGACTTGCAAAATAAATGTGTTGGCAGACTTTGAAAATATCTCTGACAAAAGTGGAAAGCTGAAAAAAAAATAACCCTATCCCTGGAATATGTATTATTAAGGATAGATGATTTTTGGTGTGTGTCGTCTGATACGCACTACAATATCCACTCTGTTGTCCGTCTTGTTTGAGTTGTTTTATTTGTCTGTACGTCTGAAGCTGTATTGAATGTCTATATTTTCGCTAAACAAAAAAAAAAGATAAATGTATCCTGGGCCTGAATTAAAGCAGCAGTAAGCGATTTGGTCGTTTCCGGCAGTTTCTTCTGCCTGAGCGAGTTAGTAGCCCCGCCCCCGCCCCCTCGTCACACCACATGAACGCGCATCGTCTTGGTGATGGCAGCAGCATGTTCATCTCCGTCAGGTCTACTCGTAAGTATATTAACAACAAACTCTGGGAGTGAAATATTAGCATAGAATAGCTCAGTTGTAACCTAGCTATAACACTGAAAGCGGGGTCGGCCCGATGTTCCCCGGGTCCGGTGTTCCCCGGGTTCCCGCCCCGGGGAACACCGGACCCCGGGAACATCGGACCTTCCAAACGCCGGAGGGCCCGGTGTTCCCCGACTGCGGGCCTCGCTCATAGACATGTTATTGCTGCGCGTCTTCATGCGCCCGATAAGCCTTGTAGATCTCGCATTGTAGCAGCCAACTACATTTTTCCAACCTACCACCTCAGAATAAGAACGTGTTGCAGATAACAAAAGTAAAGTTAGCTCCACCACCTTTTCTTTTTGGAAACATATCTCTCTCCGTTCATCCTCGCAACCCGCTCTTGTTGTAGCTGGACTGTGCTCGTTTCATAGCCGCTCCAAACTCAGCAAGTTTTTTTCTGAAGGCTGCACTCCAGCCTTATGCACATTAAAATAGGGGTCTTTTTACGAATAAGGCAACGCATTGTGTCCTCACTCCTCTCCCTGGAGTGCAGACGCTCCTAGAGACGCCACTGAGGCCTCTGAGACTGAATGAGGTTGAACTGTATTTGCGCCGCTGTTTTTTGACATAACGATCCATATATTAAATGAGAACGCTGAGGAAGCGCAGCAAAGGAAAAGAGATCGGGGCTTATGGCACAAGCGAGTTGGCACACAAAAAGGAAGACAGAAAAAAGAGCCCACTGGAAAACAAAACATTGAATTTCAAAAGACTGTTTTGTTGACTAATCAAGTTTTATTCTGAACAAACAACATCAGTAATATAACATAAGTGCTTTCAACAAACTTTCAACAAAAAGTGCAACATGTAAATAATCAAATTCAATCAAAACCAATGCAATCACTTGCTGCCTTCCAATAGGACTTTAAGTCCCGTTCATCCTCAACATACTGCTGCTTCAATCATCGCAGCCTTTCCTCCAAAACCCTCCATTTGCGACGTCGTGCAGGGGCCAATTCTCCACGTTCCGCGCCATCAATAGTTTGCTCCACGACGGTTTGGCGGTCCTTCAGACATCGGATAAAAGTCCAGAGAGATGGGTGCCGGACTCCGATGGTGTCATTTAAAGTTTTGTGATAACCTAACAACAGTAATTAAAAGGTGAGACGGACACATGCAGCTGTGGATTTTTGTCAGAATTGATTGGGGTTTTGTCTTGTAATGCCGATTGTTGTATGCTATACGCATTGCGCAAGGGCGAGACATTAAAAACTACCTATTGCGAAAATTACAATAAAATAGGGTAGCCTAGCCTTATTTGGAATTAAAGATAAACAAAAAGACGGAATATGCTCTTGGTTTTGAGGGCAACACTAAATTATTATTTCAATATAAACATTCTACTCCTTTTGAGGACAATGGTCTGATTTTGTTTTTTTATTCTGCACGGACCCCGCGGTTTCTGTAAGGATTACACCCCTATAGAATTTTATTAATTCTATAGGGTTACAAACATTTGAAAATAAAGTGCATTATTGTGCTGTGCAAGTTTTAGAAGCAGGTCTGCTTCTCCAACGTGCTTCACAGTCGAGATAAATGCGACAGCGCTTACGGAGGACCGTGGCTGCCAAAACAATAAATAAATACAGAAATAAATAAATAAATAAATAGAGGAATAAATAAATAAATGCAAAAATAAATAAATAAATAGAGAAATAAATGAATAGAGAAATAAATAGAGAAATAAATAAATGCAAAAATAAATAAATAAATAGAGAAATAAATGAATAGAGAAATAAATAAATAGAGAAATAAATGTATAAATGCAGAAATAAATGCACTTATTCTCATAATTGCGTGCATTTATTTGCAAGTTTTATCTTTTTAAAATCTATTTATTTATTCATTTATTTCTGTATATATTGTTTTGGCAGCCACGGTCCTCCATAAGCGCTCGCTACACGCAATTATTGTGGCAAAATTGTCATGTATTCAGGCCTGTTGGCTCGTTTAGGCTGTGTCATACGACTTACTTTCGACGTGGTTGTTTGTCCGGGTATCCATCTCTCGGTCAAAGACGTTCCACAGAGGAACGGGGAAGAACCCACCGATGTAGGTGTTTTGGACGTAACCAAAAAAATCCAGCAAAGATGGATTTCTGTCAATCAGCCGGATTGTTCGTTGGCTTCTTCGGAGAGAGTTGAAGTTTAGCCTCACCAGCGGCCGTGGCAGATATCCCAGAGCCATCAGCTTGCGGATGCATTTCCGAAGACTGAGGTTTTCCCTGTAAGCCCTCACAAGTCCAAGTTCTTGGACCCTTCTCCAAAGGCTCTGGGTGAAATGAAAATAGCACCCCTGGATGCTCACCTGTGGCAGCTCCGACTGAAGAGCTGTAATAAGTGCAATCTCAAAGTCGCACACAACTTTCTGTGGGCGCCACCTGCGGTGGGAGATTTGGCGCACATGCAGCGCAATAGCCTTTAAAACAGCCCTGTAGTGCCCGACTTGGCGGTGACCCATCATGCAAGTGACCAAGGGAATCACCCAGCCCCTGTATTGACCAAGGATGGTGAAAATCTGCGAATATGGTCCTGGGCAGCTTTTAAATGTTCCGTCCATGTATATTTTCCGACACTGGGAAAGGGCACGCAGATTTTCTTTTGTTGCAAATATAGCAATCTCCCAGTCATTATCTTTGTGGAGCAGATATTCCTCCTGTTGCCAGGTTTCTGCCCACGGCCCCTGGATCTCCACCTCTTCCACTCCTCTGGGTATCTCTGGCATTCTCTTTGATCTTGCCCTGTTGAGAATTGTCCTGAAGGACGAAAAGGCATCGATGCGCGGAGGGCGGTCACCTCCTCCTTGGCGGCTGACCGATGATACCGCAGCATCATATACTCTCCGGACAGGGGTGGTTGGCTGGTCATCGATTGATGAGCGCATCTTCTCCCTAAAGGTGGCCCTCTCAATCATGTGATCAACCGGGCCATGTCCGTGATCTTCCCAGAAGATGATGTGGATGGCAGGATCCTCCGGGTTAAAAATATTAGTTCGCACACGGGCTCGGCAGGTTTTGCGCCAGCAGCGCCAGTGAATGGCTTCCCCTGTTGCCCGGTGTCGATGATAACGGTGGCCATTAATGGCCAGGATGTGCCCCCCACGGTCTCCATGTATCAGCTTTGGCTCCATCTGATACGTTTTGTATGGGATCAGTAGCCTAATGCCAAACTGGAAAATTAACCTATAAGGGCGCCTTTTTCGCTAGCTTTAGCAGCCGGATGCAGCCGTACGTCGTCTGCGACGTTCGACTACATCCGGCTGAACCAGCACACCAGGCATGAACGGTCCTGACTGTTTTTAGCTGGTTTTAATAGCCTTTTAATATTTCCTGGGCCCATTGTTTTATACAAAGTATTTAATTAATGTCCTATTCATATGTTTTCATTTCTGTTTTTATTGGTTACATGCACCTCTCAAACGCACACCTGTGACACAGACTTATGTTCCGCGCAATCAGACATTGCTTGACTGTTTATAATTGATATTTCTTGTAGGAATAATAATAATGGACGTTGTTTTAGCAGTATTATTATTATTATTATTATTCCCCCACTGTAGGAGCCAATAAACTTTTCAATATGTTTGAATTTTGAGCGTTTCCAATTGTATTTAAAAATGGGAAACCTAATTAAACAATCATGAATTGAGCTTTTCCGATCTTATTTTACACTGATTCCTTTGATCATTTTTTTCTTAAAGTTCAAGTTGTAAAAATGCTATGTTTGAATTGGTTATTTACATTTTAACTGTGAGTGACACGTAAGGCGGGACAACAATGCACAATGACGCACGCATTCTGAATAGAATAATATGTATTAATATCTCTAAAACTAAAAGAGCATATTCAAGTTTTACAACAAAAACGACGTCATATGCGTGTCCATTATGCGTAAAAGCACAGTGCCCTCAGCAAAACCACGTATTTGGAAAAACTATAGGCTAACAGATGTAGTAGCTCTAGTTTCAATCGTCCTCATTTTATTCAGTCAGACTTGTCAAATATAGATGCCCATGGGAGAGTGAGCAAGGGGAGATAACATGCCCATAACATGCCCAAAAATATCCTGCATAGACTCAAGCTGCGATCAGCTGAAATATGAGCACACAAAGAGCGAGAGGGAAAAAGAAAAGTAAATAGGCTTAGCTAGTTAGTATTTTTTCTCTCACAAAAGTTGGCGCGGATCATATGCCATCTTTCGTGAAGGAGGAAACATCAAACATGAAAGGGCGCACGCGGGGAACAGCGGGACTAGTCTCGTTGTTGAAGTCCCGATGTTCCCCCACTTCTATTGGCGGGGGAACATCGGACCCGGGGATTTTTAATACGCGAAGTACCGATGTTCCCCGGGTCCGATGTTCCCCCGCCTATAGAAGTGGGGGAACATCGGACCCGGGGAACATCGGTACGCACCCCTGAAAGCAGCTTGGTGTTAGCTAGGATAGCATCACTAAGAAAGAGATAAAAACAATCCAGTCTTTTATAGAATAATACTGCTTCTCTAGTTGGTACACTGATAACTGTTGTGATAAACATAATGTTGCAGATTGCAGTGTGACGTGTCTCAACAGTATGCACTGTAACATCTGTTACAGTGCATATGTATTAGATGAATATAATGCATATACATTACAACAACAAAGCTTTACATGAAGGTTATTTAAAGTAATGCATTACTGCTACTTATTTCCTCACAATTTATATATTTGGAGTTCTTTATAGACAACACTATAGTAATGTATTATGTGAAAGTAAAGCTGCATCTCACTGGAAGCTGCCTTCTCAATGTCACAAAATAAAGATACATTTATTGATGTAATCAACATCTGTATTATGTGCTTATTGTTCAGAGAATGAAGACAAAATCACGGTGTATCAGAGCTGTACAGTGAAATGTGGGACTGAAAAACAATTCCAGTAAAGCTTGTCCGAAACGCAAAAGTACTGTCATAACTAATTACGTTACACTATTACACTGTAAGGAAACTCACCACTTTGAAAGAAAAGCTACAAGTAACAGAATATATAAAGTCATTTGTCATAATGGTTCTTTCAGGAAGCACTGAACGCCCTCTGTCCAGAGAAGCTGATGACCAGATCCTTTCCCTGGTGCGTCTGTGAAAGGTGCCAACAGACATTGAAAACGTGCTTTCCTCAGCGGCCCCCATGGTGCACGTCCACTCTGCAGTTCTGAAATATGTTTGTAGTTGTACTATTTCAAAATAAAAAAAATTACATTCACCTCTTTCAATGTGCTTTGTTTTATAGTAGGAAAACAAATACAGTCTGTAACGAGTCTAAGAAACTTTATTATGTAAAAGAAGATTTGAAGTTATAGCCAGAAAAATATACACAATGTCCCTACTAAGACAAATAAAAACAAGTGATGGTAAGGCAACGTTTGTGTTATCACTTTTTGCTCAAATGAATAACACTGTTATTATTCAGGTCCTTATCCATCGCTGCTGCAGCGAACACTATCAGAGATATCCAACAAAATGTTAATCTTTATGTTGTAGCTTGTTTGAATACATTTCCTCAAAATAATTCAAAAGCAGCCACGCACACACAGCCACAAGCACACACAGCCACAAGCACACACAGCCACAAGCACACACAGTCACAAGCACACACAGTCACAAGCACACACAGTCACACACAGTCACACGCACACACAGTCACACGCAGCCACAAGCACACACAGTCACAAGCACACACAGTCACAAGCACACACAGTCACACGCACACACAGTCACACGCACAGACAGCCACGCTTCAGGGGCCCAGGTTGAAGGAACTGGAGTCTTCCTCTGGCAGAGATTTTCCTTTGAAACACAATAGAGGAGACATCAGTTTTATCTACTCAAATATGACTTTGATATATTCATCAACAACATCAGTATTTATTGATCACCAGGAGTGGCCCCTGATTCACAGGATCCTTGAACATGTTTATTTGGACTGTGAGAGACTGTGCATTGTGAGAGAAAGACACTTACATCGGCTGTTTTGGGAGTCGAGTGATTATCTCACTCCTCTTGATTGTTGAAGAAACTCAGCGACAGTTTTGTCAACACTGACTCCTGGAACATTATCGATATTCATTTTGGACCTCAGGGCAGCAACACAACTGTAGGGATGAACGACACACACATCACAACATCATTATCATAATCACTGCGTCCCATATATGCATTCACAACAACCTACATGACAAATGTGGGGTGTAAAGTCTTCCTCAGGAGATGACAATGGCCATTCTTCTAATTCTGGAAGCAAAGTCTTGTCTTCCCAGTCAATACTAGAGAAAGAAGAGGTCAGCAGAAAAGTATCTAGTCGTTATGGCATTTTTTTTTTTTATAGTTATTTAACTTGCATTATGGAGGCTGTTGAACTCTTGTACATTGAAGACCTCATTCCAATTGATTTAGGCCATACTGGAAAAGATACAGAGAAAAGAATGCAATGAAGACATGTAAATTATTACAATGTCTATATTATATCATGCTCATAATTTATTTGGTAGTAGTCAGCAAGACTTGTCTTACTTATTCTCAATAAATAATAATAAAAATGTATGTAGTGGTCACGGAAGTTAGATTTGAGGTAAAGAGATATTGTTTTTAAAACAATAAAACTAATATACAGAGTGCAAGTTGCAAAACTTAGTCATTGAAGAATGAAATGCAGACCTACATACAGTAGGTCCCATTCCGTTTTGTCGCTTTTCACGCGTGAATCACACGAGAATCACGTGTGATTCACGCGTCTTTTATTTTCCCCCCTCCCAGTGACGTTGCAATGACCAAAACAACCACCAGGTGGCACTTGTGAGCAGGGTTACATTGGCGAGTTTCTGCCCCGCGCACATCGACAATCTGGTTTAAACGGGCAACTCCTTGTAGCAGGCCAGTCTCTGGAAAACCCGCAGACATTAAAACTACTGCATATAACGTAAACTTTTGCATCACGTTGGTGATCTTTCCAAAAAGAGAGAATATCGTTATGGAAAGAGAAACTATTGGCTCCGCTGGTGTCTCCTCCCACTCAGAAAAAAAGCAGACGCCTTTTCTCTGGCATCTCTAACATTTATAATAAATACATAAATATAACAATCATAATGAAGATGTTTCAAATAATTTAGCAAGCTGTAATTCATTTATTTCAACTGCCAAACTTCTCTCGCTGCTCCTCTCCTCTCCTCCGCAAATCACTAAATGAGGAAAAGGGAATATTCACTCAATCTATTTTGAATGTTACACATACAATATTAATATAGTCTAAGCACGTGTACCACATGTAGCCCGTGTATTTACCACAGACTGTAAGTATTAAAGTAATGAGGCCCCTGCTTTAGGCCTCTGCTGTGAGGCCCACACCGTCATCAGTCTCGGTGCCTCTAGATCACACGTCTGTCCTCGGGCTGGAGTGTTCTGAGGCTTTAAGCGGGGAGTCAGGAAGGAGCGATCCTGTTTGTCAGCATGATTTTTTTGTTTAACAGCCTCCCTGCGCGATTGCAAATGTACTCAAGGGACTCCCATACCGTGGCTCACATATATAATATTATATAGGGATCAGGAGCTTTCTGACCCGACCCACCCGCACCTGACATGACTCATATTTTTGAGGCATCCAACCCGCCCGAAACCGCGGGACCCGCGGGTTGACTGCGGGTTTCGGGCCGACCCGCGCATCTCGCATGTCCTGTTCAGGGCTGCAGGAGCAATTGTCCATTATTTTAATTGGACTTCTGGTCCATGCACACTGTAAAAAAGATAAAGTTAGTTCAACTCAAAATTTCAAAGCAACCAGCTGCGAAGGATTTTTGAGTTGAAGGCATTAACTTAATTCTTCAAGTTTTGAAGAACTACACTTATTAAGTTGTGTCAGTTAAGTTTTCCAAGTTCTGCCAACTAAGTGTTTAAATTCAAGTTACTGGAAATTTCAAGTCTGTAAAAACTTACTTTTTTAAGTTCAGATTACTGTCGCGAGCAGAGAGAGAGAGAGAGAGGTGAGCAGAGAGAGAGAGACGCGAGCAGAGAGAGAGAGAGGTGAGCAGAGAGAGAGAGACGTGAGCAGAGAGAGAGAGACGTGAGCAGAGAGAGAGAGAGAGAGAGAGAGAGAGAGTGAG